AGAAGACTCATTATATGTATATATATATATATATATATATAAAATGGAGATAGTATTAATAATAATAATTTTAAAATCTTTATTAAATTTTAACAAAATAATCAAATATGAAAAAATCCAAATAATAATCACTACCAACCTTAAACTTTCATGATAACAAAATAGAAAGAAGATCCAAATGACAATCAGTACTAACACTCATTTATATTTTATTCTTAAAAATTAATTTAAAATATGAAGATTTATAGAAAAGCAAACAAAAAATTGATAAAACAGAACAAAATAAGATGGTCAAACTCACGTCGAGAAAGCTAAACGAGTTATGTTTCTCCAGTGGAGGCGTCAAAAGGGAGAGAAAAAATTCCAATAGGACCAAGAGTGAAAAATATTATAAGTCCAAAGTTTTTACTAAATCTATATTATTTAGAAGCTTTCTTATTTTGTATCTTTCGTAGAGTTGAGGCCTCCTTATATAATGGAATGAGAAGATGCTTGAAATTATTTTAGACAACATGAGACTTTTTAGGTGAAAGAAAAGAGAGAAACAATATGAGACTTGAGTACCTTTTATGATTAAATGAGATACTTTGTAGTTGATTTTTATTAAAATAAAAACTGATTTTGATTTTTGAAGTGTAAGCATGACTTGTAGATTTTCTATATATCAAACTTTTCAATATCCTAAAGAACGCCCAAATAGATAATTGTATTACATGATATGACATTATTTTTCATGAAACTTGAACACACACACAAAAAAAATTCTATCAAGATCAAATAACTTGTTTTGAAGTTAATTTTTAATAAAAAGAAGTCAATTTTGGTTTGCATGTTAACACAATAATTGCAGATATTTTTTGAAACTCTCCAAGGTACAAAGAATGCTTCAAATGGTTATCATTGATCAAGATATAATATCGTAAACTTATGATATTCAACATGAAAATTTATTTTTTTATTAAAGTTATTCCCTTGGATAAGAATACTCATACATTTCATTGTTATATTATCTAATCCTTTTTTTTTTTACCTTTCTATTTTATTTTATTTTATATTATTTTATTTTTATATTTTATTTTATTTTTATATTTTTATTTTTATACTTCATTTTAAATTGCTCGAACGAAATCGAGTGTTGGTAATGGATAAAACTAGGATTTTAAAATATAATAAAAAGCTCTTCAAATAAAGTAAACATCCTTTTTTGATTTTTTTTTTAAATTACAACGTTTATCGGATAAAAATAGGTTAGATTAAGTTAAATTTTATTAATCTTGACTTTGGTCTTGATTGAAAATACATTGATCTATTTATTCGTCATAAGCCTTTTTTTTAGTTTGGCCTAAATTGCATAAAAGTCTAGTGTGACTCGTAAATTTATTTTTTTAGTACATTATATATATATATATATATATAAATATATATATATATATATATATTTTGATACATCTATAAGTATGTTTAAGAGTATATTTTCTAATAATTTAACACTAAGACAAAAATTAAAATAAATGTTAGATTTTATAAAAGTCAAGTCTAATTTATATGATTACAAAATTAGAGATAATAATGGGTAATAGCATTCTGTGAATAATATAACACAATATATTCATACATTCTTTAATTTTATTCCATTACCTTTGCTG